CAGTGTCTCATAACTATGGCACCAAATAATCCGCAACTTCATCTCTGCACACTTGGGCTAGTTTTATTTCTTTCTCTGTACACGTTAACTCGTACCTGGATGCCCTTAAAATTTATTCCCAATCTATTCTTACATCGTTCACATCCAATTGTTTCGAATTCTTTTGTTCTTTTTGAGACCAGTCGTGATCTCTCGACCCTACTTTTTCCAGTTATAAACGGCATCATTCCCATTTTACTGCCACTTCCGGATGTCATTTTTGTAGTTTAACTTAAACTTAGCTATGATATTCGTATTCCGTTTGCAGCATTTGCAGTGTTTTCGTCACCATGAACGCCTTGAAGCTCTACCTAGGCCTATGACAATTATTTAATTAAACATACAACTAAACCATTAAATTTCAATCTTTTTAGCTTGCCTGCATGGGTACCGTAATTATCATACTTAAGTCAAGTGCAAGTTTGTATTTCGTTGAATCTAAGTAAAATAGCAGCTGTTTATTTCTGATAGATTTCTAACAATTTATATTAATAGCATTGAAAACGTTTAATTCTGGAAAAGTTTTACATATTCTAGGTTCATGCAGATAAAACGAATTCCGTTGTTCTAGTGTTAAAACCCAATTTGTTATTATGTTACAAACAACATTTGGTGTGGTCTGAGTAACTAGAGTAATTGAAATTTCTTACTTGTCTTTTTTTTTACTCATGCAGAAAAAAAATAGGTCGTGGCCACTTTATTATTCAGTTTACCTAAGTTTGTAAGTCAACATTTTCGGTAATTACCTGCCATCCGTCCAATTTTGAAAACGTCATGTAAAAAGCCGATCTCAGGAGGTATTAAAAATTCAGCCAATATACTAGCGAATGATTGACCATGGCCAAATTCACCTTTTTTCCTCTTGTTAATGCTTAACATTGATAGATAAAAATTATTGATATTAAGTTTCGCATGTGAAAAAATACGTTTCCTATCCAATACTTGTTTTTAGTTTATACATGGGACTACCTAAAATTGTTGGATGAAGTAATACAAATTATTAATTGAACGTTTTGTTCTCCAAAGATGTTTACACTGCGAAATTGTATGGAGAATCCTTAATATTCAGTTTACGTAAGTTTACGAGTTGACATTTTCGTTAGTTACCTATCGTCCAATTTTAAAAACGTGATGTCAAACACCGGCCATGGCAGGTTTTAAAATATGTATAGCTGGAGTATGTTTGCATGCAACTGAAAACTCTCTAATTTTTATTCGCTTTCTGCATATCTGGTGGAAAAATAAAAATTATTTATCAAGCAATTTGCAGTATGGTGCTTAATGTAGCAATTTTTGAAGTTAGCAAGCTCCCTCTATACTGCGGAAGACCTGGTATTATTCTGGCTGTGGCTTGTGGCTAGCCAAGCTATAATTCTGCTTCATGTCTTAAGTTAAGTTATTACCTATCACTGTATGTCAACAAGAATTTCATAATTCCAGAAAAAGAACGTGTATATACGATGGTAGAGAAATTTATACGACCTTCGGGGCTCTTACCGTTGGTTTTTCATTGAAATTTGAGGTCGAGGGACCCTCGTCAAATTCGGGATCTTCCTCTTTAGATGTGGAATGCCTAAAATTGATAGATAAAAATGGGTACAGATGGTAAAAAAGTCTTCCAAGTGAAAGAATTAAGAATACTACAGACGTTTTCCATCAAATACTTGTTCGTTGTTTTGTATTGGGACTACTGAAAATTGTTGGATGAAGTAGTAAAGATTATTAATTGAACGTTGCGCTCTCTGAAGGTGTTTATACTGAGAAATTGTGTAGAGACTCCATAATATTCAGTTTACGTAGGTTTCTGAGTTGATATTTTCGCTAATTATCTATCGTCCAATTTAAAAACGTTATGTCAAAACCCGATCCTGGCAGGTTTAAAATTATATAGAGAGTATGTTTGCATCGGCAACTGAACAAGAAAGTTTAAAGAAATGGTGTTCCTACCGTGGCCTCCCCCGTTCTTTCTGTATTCGTTTCGTCATCCCTGCCTTCGTTTCTAGCCCGGGCATCAGCTTCCGTGAATCTCTTCGATACCTCGGTCGAACATATCCCTATTAAGCCTTGACGGCGGAAACTGATGCCCGTCTCTCCATAAGGTCAAATTTTTGCTTTTGACAGAACGCCTGTTGAATTAAAGTTTTCAATTTTGCGATAAAGTCTAAATAGCTAAAGATAAGAAAGATAGCTTACCTTTCATATGACCCAAAGAACACGATGGCGTAACGCGTGTTTACCTTCGCTACGACCTTGGACAAAAAACGAAATAATGTAAACGCAAGCAAATTCACAAATATTTTGTAGCAGCACATCTCTTTCTTTCACCTACATTTGCCGGCCACTTTCTGAACCCTTTAATTTTGGCCCACACCAAATCTCCTGTCTTATATTGAAAAGATTTTTTATTTGCTTTCGGCATCTAGTGGAAAAATAAAAATTAGTTATGAAGTAATTTGCAGTATGGTGCTGAATGTAGCAAGTGAGGTTAGCAAGCTTCCTTTACCGCGGAAGACCTGGTATTATTCTGGCTGTGGCTAGCCAAGCTATAATTCTGCTTCATGTCTTAAGTTAAGTTATTTCCTATCACTGTATGTCAACAACAATTCCATAATTCCAGACAAAGAAGGTCTATATACGATGGTAGAGAAATTTAAACGACCTTCGGGGCTCCTACCCTTGCCTTTCTTTTGAAATTTGATGTCGAGGGACCCTCGTCAAATTCAGGATTTTCCTCTTCAGATTTGGAATGCTTAAAATTGATAGATAAAAATGGGTACAGATGGTAAAAAAGTCTTCCAAGTGAAAGAATTAAGAATACTACAGACGTTTTCCATCAAATACTTGTTCGTTGTTTTGTATTAGGACTACTGAAAATTGTTGGATGAAGTAGTAAAGATTATCAATTGAACGTTTTGCTCTCTGAAGGTGTTTACACTGTGAAATTGTGTGGAGACTCCATAATATTCAGTTTACGTAGGTTTCTGAGTTGATATTTTCGCTAATTATCTATCGTCCAATTTAAAAACGTTATGTCAAAACCCGATCCTGGCAGGTTTAAAATTATATAGAGAGTATGTTTGCATCGGCAACTGAACAAGAAAGTTTAAAGAAATGGTGTTCCTACCGTGGCCTCCCCCGTTCTTTCTGTATTCGTTTCGTCATCCCTGCCTTCGTTTCTAGCCCGGGCATCAGCTTCCGCCTCAATCTCTTCGATACCTCGGTGGAACATATCCCTATTAAGCCTTGACGGCGGAAACTGATGCCGGTCTCTCCATAAGGTCAAATTTTTGCTTTTGACAGAACGCCTGTTGAATTAAAGTTTTCAATTTTGCGATAAAGTCCAAATAGCTAAAGATAAGAAAGATAGCTTACCTTTCATATGACCCAAAGAACACGATGGCGTAACGCGTGTTTACCTTCGCTACGACCTTGGACAAAAAACGAAATAATGTAAACGCAAGCAAATTCACAAATATTTTGTAGCAGCACATCTCTTTCTTTCACCTACTTTTGCCGGCCACTTTCTGAACCCTTTAATTTTGGCCCGCACCAAATCTCCTGTCTTATGTTGAAAAGATTTTTTATTTGCTTTCGGCATCTAGTGGAAAAATAAAAATTATTTATCAAGCAATTTGCAGTATGGTGCTTAATGTAGCAATTTTTGATGTTAGCAAGCTCCCTCTATACTGCAGAAGACCTGGTATTATTCTGGCTGTGGCTAGCCAAGCTATAATTCTGCTTCATGTCTTAAGTTAAGTTATTACCTATCACTGTATGTCAACAAGAATTTCATAATTCCAGACAAAGAACGTGTATATACGATGGTAGAGAAATTTATACGATCTTCGGGGCTCTTACCGTTGGTTTTTCATTGAAATTTGAGGTCGAGGGACCCTCGTCAAATTCAGGATCTTCCTCTTCAGGTGTGGAATGCTTAAAATTGATAAATAAAAAAGGGTACAGATGGTAAAAAAGTCTTCCAAGTGAAAGAATTAAGAATACTACAGACGTTTTCCATCAATTACTTGTTCGTTGTTTTGTATTGGGACTACTGAAAATTGTTGGATGAAGTAGTAAAGATTATTAATTGAACGTTGCGCTCTCTGAAGGTGTTTATACTGAGAAATTGTGTAGAGACTCCATAATATTCAGTTTACGTAGGTTTCTCAGTTGATATTTTCGCTAATTATCTATCGTCCAATTTAAAAACGTTATGTCAAAACCCGATCCTGGCAGGTTTAAAATTATATAGAGAGTATGTTTGCATCGGCAACTGAACAAGAAAGTTTAAAGAAATGGTGTTCCTACCGTGGCCTCCCCCGTTCTTTCTGTATTTGTTTCGTCATCCCTGCCTTCGTTTCTAGCCCGGGCATCAGCTTCCGCCTCAATCTCTTCGATACCTCGGTCGAACATATCCCTATTAAGCCTTGACGGCGGAAACTGATGCCGGTGTCACGCAGTTCTCCCCCAGTCTCAACGATCCTCCGAGGACATTTGCGTAAAATATTAAACTTAGGGTACGCGAGACGAAAAGCAAAGAAAAAATGCTTTTGACAAGCTAGTCCTGTTAAAATCTGATCTCTGTAAGTGATTTCATGTAACTGTTGGACAATATTCTGTATTGTATGATGGAATCAGCACAAAATGTCGCTAAAATATAGATTTGAATGTCACTGTGGTGATGATGATCGGAATCGGATGGGCTACAAGCGTACATCACATTTATATCATCATATTCATACATTTTAGCTGCAATTTATTCAGTTTGCCATTTTGATTAACAATTACAATGTCATAATATTAGTAAGCACTAGATATAATCTCAATTATGATATAAATACAACCATCAGACCTATTATACTGGTCTCAGTATAATAGGTCTGATGGTTGTATTTATATCATAATGGCCCTTTCATACACTACCAGTCTATAAGTCATCCCATTTACATTATCGGTCTTAGTCATCGATTTACATGACCAGTCTCAGTTATCCCCTTTACATTATCAGTCTCAGTCATCCCATTTACATTATCAGTCTCAGTCATCCCCTTTACATTATCAGTCTCAGTCATCCCATTTACATTATCAGTCTCAGTCATCCCCTTTACATTATCAGTCTCAGTTATCCCCTTTACATTACCAGTCTCAGTCATCCCCTTTTCATTATCAGTCTCAGTCATCCCATTTACATTATCAGTTATCCCCTTTACATTACCAGTCTCAGTCATCCCATTTACATTATCAGTCTCAGTCATACCCTTTACACTACCAGTCTCAGTCATCCCATTTACATTACCAGTCTCAGTCATCCCATTTACATTATCAGTCTCAGTCATACCCTTTACACTACCAGTCTCAGTCATCCCATTTACATTATCAGTCTCAGTCATCCCATTTACATTATCAGTCTCAGTCATCCCCTTTACATTATCAGTCTCAGCCATCCCATTTACATTATCAGTCTCAGTCATCCCATTTACATTATCAGTCTCAGTTATCCCCTTTACACTACCAGTCTCAGTCATCCCATTTACATTATCAGTCTCAGTCATCCCATTTACATTATCAGTCTCAGTCATCCTCTTTACATTATCAGTCTCAGTCATCCCCTTTACACTACCAGTCTCAGTCATCCCATTTACATTATCAGTCTCAGTTATCCCCTTTACATTACCAGTCTCAGTCATCCCCTTTACATTATCAGTCTCTGAATGCTTCCCAGTCTGGAGTATTTCAAGAAACACACAGTAAGATTTCATTGGTTATCTGTGAATTTAATTTACTATATGGTATGTCATATTTACACTCTTATTTTCAATACTATTTACAAACTATTTACACGTCATGCAATGAAATAATGTTTTGTCAGTTACAGTTTTTGGAACTTTATCACAAAGTCAATGAAACCATTCTAAACATGAAGAACACTCAATCATGAAATCACCAGCTTTGAATGGCATTCGACAATGGCAGTAAAGTTTTACTTTCTCCTCTTTACTAGCACTCACTGCATGGTTTGATGGTTTTGCTGGAAATAAAGCCATTTCATCACAGTGAAAGCAAATTGCCAAATGTCCTCTCATAACACTCTGGTCGTAAATTAGTTCACTTGGGTCATCTTTATTAAAAGACTAGCTGCAACCGCCAGTGCAAAAAGGCCGCAATCCGAACCACCTTTTTGTTTTTGCATTGATGGCCACTCTATAACCATATCAGGCAGCTTGGTGTTGAGCAATGCTGCCAAAGAAGCACAAAGTTTTTGCTTCAATTTATTTGATAGTTTTGACTGAAGAGAGTCGTATACTTTGACCCTGTTCTCCTTACACCCAATGTTTGTGACAGTTACCCAGTGATTACCAACATTCAAAACTTGAACGAAATCTTTAGCTCCTCTCTGTACTTTTGGTGATTTGTTTTCAAATGCTAACACAGAGTGCAAACCTTTAAATCCTGGAAATTGCTTGGTCAATAACCACTGGGCATGATCAATGTGCTCATCAGTGAGCCAGTAGCCTTCCTGTAAAATTGTTTGCACCAGTGTATCAGGATTTGGATTGGCATTACAATGCAACACTTCATTTTGACTTTTTCTTTGCCTTCTTATGTTGTTGCTCTTCTTCTTGTGAATTGGTGGTAGGCTGTTGTGAGTTGGTGCTGGGCTGTTGTGAGCTGGTGGTGGGCTGTTGTGAGCTGGTGGTGGGCTGTTGTGAGCTGGTGCTGGGCTGTTGTGAGCTGGTGGTGTGCTGTTGTGAGGGTGGGCTGTTGTGAGTTGGTGGTTCAGGGTCATCAGGTGCTGAAGTAGAGTCTGTCTTTGGTCTCTGGATGTTGTGAAGCTCGCTTGTCCTGTAGGGCATCAGTTGATCAAATGGAACTTTATTCTTGAGAGGAGCTGCATCATTCTTCAATGACACAAGCGTGACTCTTTGTGTGTTATCAATTTCTTTGACCCTGAAACAGATAAAAAAATAAGGTTATCCAGGTCCAGGACCAAAAAACTGTTGTACACACACAACATAGTTACTTATCTAAGCTATCAACATGATACAGGCAGGTTGAAACATTAAAATGACATGGCATGTTACCTGTATGGCCCTATCCAACTTGGCTCCATCTTTCCTCCTTTCCTTGACATGTTCTTCATTTGTCGTTTGTAGACCATGTCACCAACTTTAATGTCAAATGTCTTGACACCCTTTGCCTTTCGTTTTGCATACTGCACTTTTTGTTTTTCTTGAGCAGCTTCAACATTCTTAAGAACCTATAAAAAACCCAAATAATTTTATCTTCAACATTTCTGCATGTATATATATGACAACTAAAGAGAACACTGTACACTTCTCAGATTGAACATACTTGTTGGCTAGTTGTTTCAGCTTTTGCTATCCTTTCCCCAATTTGCTGGTCTAATAACTCTTCAGGTTGTTCGGGAGGAGAGGAACTGTCCTCAACAACAGTAATCTATAGGTTGAATATAAAATTACATATAACATATGTATATATATATATATATATATATATATATATATATATATATATATATATATATATATTAAGAAGGCTATTTACACATAAAACTGCAAATTTGTTTCGAAAACACTCCAAAGGGAGTGCTCTCTCGTCAGGTCTAAAGTATGCCAGCTAACTTCGGTCTTATTTATACTCGTTCGCTACACGTTCTTTGATAAAAGCTTTACTCCGTGACGGCATTTGTTAGCAAGTTCATTTCTACTGTTTAATGTACCCATATGGGGTTTGCAAATGATAAAAAATTTCTCAGTGATGCATAAATTACATCGCTTGCTTACATGTGTTATGTCATTGACGACATTATAAAACAGCATTGTCCAGACTAAACGGCAAGAGCTATCAGATAGTATCATATTCTCAAATTGGTGTACTTACTGCTGTATGAATTCACGCCATGGCCCTCTAATCCACGGCCCCTTTTTGAACTTTTTTTCTTTTTTAATATTTGTTTCAGTTCATTTACAAAATCTATTGAAAATAACATTTGGGAAATTATATCGCAAATATTCGCTCCTTCAGGTTTTGGAAATATTTTTTGTACATAATTCGCTCGCACTTTTCTTTGTGTTGAAGCATGCGTTTTTCTCTGTTCCTCGGTTCAGGTTCACTCGATAAATTCGTTCCAACGGCAGGCTCTTGCTGTGGAACCATTTCTTCTTTAATACCAAGCAATTTAGTAAGATTTTCGAAGTGCTCTGTTTGACAGCCAGCGAGAGAAAGGGGATAACTCAGACCACGAGGAAATGTTGTTATGCAAAACCGCTGACTCACGCATGCGCATGATATGCGCATTGTGATAGAGGATGGCTCAGACCGGGGGAGCAATGAGACCACCACACCGGTCTCTCCATAAGGTCAAATTTTTGCTTTCGACAGAACACCTGTTGAATTATAGTTTTCAATTTTGCGATCAAGTCCAAATAGCCAAAGATAAGAAAGATAGCTTACCTTTCATAAGACCCAAAGAACACGATGGCGTAACGCGTGTTTACCTTCGCTACGACCCGGGACAAAAAACGAAATAATGTAAACGCAAGCAAATTCACAAATATTTTGTAGCAGCACATCTCTTTCTTTCACCTACTTTTGCCGGCCACTTTCTGAACCCTTTAATTTTGGCCAACACTAAATCTCCCGTCTTATATTGAAAAGATTTTTTATTTGCTTTCGGCATCTAGTGGAAGAATAAAAATTAGTTATGAAGTAATTTGCAGTATGGTGCTGAATGTAGCATGTGAGGTTAGCAAGCTTCCTTTACCGCGGAAGACCTGGTCTTGTTCAGGCTATGGCTAGCCAAGCTATAATTCTGCTTCATGTCTTAAGTTAAGTTATTATTTATCACTGTATGTCAACAAAAATTCCATAATTATAGACAAAGAACGTGTATATACGATGGTAGAGAAATTTATACGACCTTCGGGGCTCTTACCGTTGCCTTTTTCCCTGAAATTTGATGTCGAGGGACCCTCGTCAAATTCAGGATCTTCCTCTTCAGGTGTGGAATGCTTAAAATATATAGATAAAAAAAGGGTACAGATGGTAAAAAAGTCTTCCAAGTGAAAGAATTAAGAATACTACAGACGTTTTCTATCAAATACTTGTTCGTTGTTTTGTATTGGGACTACTGAAAATTGTTGGATGAAGTAGTAAAAATTATTAATTGAACGTTTGGCTCTCTGAAGGTGTTTATACTGCGAAATTGTGTGGAGACTCCATAATATTAAGTTTACGTAGGTTTCTGAGTTGATATTTTCGCTAATTATCTATCGTCCAATTTAAAAACGTTACTGATGTCAAAACCCGATTCTGGCAGGTTTAAAATTATAGAGAGTATGTTTGCATGCAACTAAACTAGAAACTTTAAAAGAAATGGCGTTTCTACCGTGGCCTTCCCGTTCCTCTCTGTACTCGCTCTGTCCTGCCTGCTTTCTTCTCGGCCCGGACATCAGCTTCCGCCTCAATCTCTTCGATTCCTCGGTCGTACATATCCCTATTAAGCCTTGACGGCGGAAACTGATGCCGGTCTCTCCATAAGGTCAAATTCTTACTTTTCTGAGAACGCCTGTTGAATTATAGTTTTTAATTTTGCAATAAAGTCTAAATAGCCGAAGATAAGAAAGATAGCTTACCTTTCATACGACCCAAAGAACACGATTTCGTAACGCGTGTTTACCTTCGCTATGACCTTGGCCAAAAAACGAAATAATGTAAACGCAAGCAAATTCACAAATATTTTGTAGCAGCAGATGTCTTTCTTTCACCTAATTTAGCCAGATACTTTCTGAACCCTTTAATTTTGGCCCACATCAAATCTCCCGTCTTATATTGAAAAGATTTTTTATTTTCTTTCGGCATCTAGTGGAAAAATAAAAATTAGTTATGAAGTAATTTGCAGTATGGTGCTGAATGTAGCAAGTGAGGTTAGCAAGCTTCCTTTACCGCAGAAGACCTTGTATTATTCTGGCTGTGACTAGCCAAGCTATAATTCTACTTCATGTCTTAAGTTAAGTTATTACTTATCACTGTATGTCAACAACAATTCCATAATTCCAGACAAGGAAGGTTCATATACGATATTAGAGAAATTTATATGACCTTCGGGGCTCCTACCGTTGCTTTTCTCCTGAAATTTGAGGTCGAGGTAAAGTTTAAAGAAATGGTGTTCCTACCGTGGCCTCCCCCGTTCTTTCTGTATTCGTTTCGTCATCCCTGCCTTCGTTTCTAGCCCGGGCATCAGCTTCCGCCTCAATCTCTTCGATACCTCGGTGGAACATATCCCTATTAAGCCTTGACGGCGGAAACTGATGCCGGTCTCTCCATAAGGTCAAATTTTTGCTTTTGACAGAACGCCTGTTGAATTAAAGTTTTCAATTTTGCGATAAAGTCCAAATAGCTAAAGATAAGAAAGATAGCTTACCTTTCATATGACCCAAAGAACACGATAGCGTAACGCGTGTTTACCTTCGCTACGACCTTGGACAAAAAACGAAATAATGTAAACGCAAGAAAATTCACAAATATTTTGTAGCAGCACATCTCTTTCTTTCACCTACTTTAGCCGGCCACTTTTTGAACCCTTTAATTTTGGCCCACACCAAATCTCCTGTCTTATATTGAAAAGATTTTTTATTTGCTTTCGGCATCTAGTGAAAAAATAAAA